CCGCCTTTCCCCATTTTGTCTTCCTGCACCTTCGATACATTTGTCTTCACCGTCAGCATCACAGCCTGGCTCAAATGACCTCTGTCTTCTGTTCTGTAAAATTCACCAGTTGTCTGCGCTCTCTTAATAGCACAGTTAACAAAAAACCCTCCCACGAAGGTCCGGTGCATTTTCCTATTTGAATTCCAGTTTGTTCAAAAGCACTTTCCCCCCAAAATAATCTTTCTAAATAACCGCCCCCTTTATCCGTCATTCAGTGTTAACGATAATTGCAAGCTATTCGATTCCTCCATACAGGAGGACAGACAGGAGAGTCGGATCAGGTCTTGCAAAGGAGAATCTTTATTTGGGAAAAGAAGACAAGACAACCCAATGGAGCGATGGGGAAGAGCTCCAAACAATACTGGAGTCCACCTGCTAGAACGAATCTGCTAGTGCAAAACTTCTACACACAGTTCTGCTGAATCACTTTTGTGGTTCACTCTTTCCCCAGCAAAAAGCCTGCTCAGGGTTTTTACCATCGATAGAGGGCGGTCAGCAGAAGGGGGTCAAAAAAGTCAAGACGACAGGCTGGGCCTCCATCGCACCGCTGGAACCGCCATCTTGACTTTTTTGACCGCACCCTGCAGATACCCCTCCAGTGAAACACGGCAAATACCTTGAACCCCGACACGGTGGCTCATGAGCAGTGATGCTGCTGCTGGATGAGCTGAAAAGCAAAACATAAAATACCCTGTTTCATATTTGGTAACTGCTCTTTACTCAGTTGTTAAAAAAAAAAAAGTTGCATCTTTCTACTGTTCCCAAAAATAGAATTAAAAAAAAAATACAGATCAACAAAGAGGTTGTAGAGAATCTCCTGTACAAATTATACACTTACGAACTCGTTCTTAAGTCAAGATAGTTCTTTCATATCACTACGTACTTCACTGGCAATTTTTACCTTATTCTATCCCTTTTTTTCCCCCATCAATTATTTTTACATAACTTTACATCTGATGCTATAACTGGGAACCAAGCTTCATTTAGCCAGTATGAATAAAAAGCCATTTCAGAAAGTAGCGGAATATGTAAAAATCAAAGAATGAAACCAAGGTTCCGCAGGACAGCAAAATAAAATTGTGGCAAATTGAGTCGATCAGATCTACCATTTCTAGAAGAAGAAGTCCGGCGCTTGCCTACAGCGTTGCCAAAAAGATTCACAAAAGCATTTGTACAAATTGTGAACTTGGAAGTGATAACAGGCGCAGTGATTCAAGGCAGTTTTGGAATGCAAAAACATATATATATATATATATCTTAAGACTTACAGGCTAGACCAACATGGAAGAAACTGGAATTATTTTTAGTTAGAAAAACGTTCATCTCAATTCTATTTGGCCCAAATGTCCCACTAGATTCTTTTTGTCCCCTTGTTGTAACATAACATTTTCAATATCATAATCTGAACATTTTTTACATTCAATTTACTGGTAGAACCATTTTTAGGCCACGCAAAAACCAGCGACTTTCGTCCCCTTGCTGCAATGGGACATTTTCAGTATCGTAATCTGAACATTTTTACATTCAATTTACTGGAAGGACCATTTTTAGGCCACCCAAAAACCAGCTGCTAAGTATCGTACATCATATCAAATATGAATCTGCCACCAAAATTTAAAAAGAAAATCAATTCTCCGGGAGAATATGCAAAGATGGTTGGAGAACTGCTGTGTCATTTCTGCATTGCTACAAAACCAGTCTGGATTTTGGGGGAAGAGTGTTTTTTGGGGGGGGGCAAGCTTTCCTTTTCTCCCATCCGCTGGAAACGTTAAATGCTAAGGGGGTTTCATGGTTCATGCTCACTTTGCATTCTTGCGTCTTCTAAGTTTGTTCTGGGGAAGGAGGCAGGGACATCTTGGCAGTGGTTATGCTGTATAAAAGCTGTAAGGCTAATTTTCAGAGAGTCTTCAAAAGTGCCCGACATACCCCTCGTTTAAATACAATTTACCTCCATCAAGATGCCAAGCAATAACAAGGGAAGAACTACGGAATACCATTTTAGAAACGTCAAGGTTCTTGCTAATCTTATTCCTTCTGCATAAAGCAAAGATGTACCTTCTACAACAGCTCCTACGGCAGTGTTTCTCAAAATTAGCAACTCTA